ATTTTCAAAACTCAAGTTGATTAAAAATCACATGAGATGAGCCAACAGAGACTGGTAAACCTCAGTATTCTCGCTATCGAAAGTGACATTTTAAATTCGTTGAAACACGATGAAATACTCTCTGAATTTGCAAGCATGAAAGTGCAGAAAAAATACAGACTATAGGGCCCCCACACAATTGCGTGCCCCGGGCCCCCCACACGCTTAGTCCGGCCCTGGGTGCATGTGCGTGTGCGTGTGCATGCAGTGCGTGAGTGAATGTTCTATATACAGGTATACTTAATTGTATTTTTTAACAAAACCGCGATTCGCGAAAATGTTAAAATATATGTAATCACTTAGCTCCTCCAAAATTGTGCGACAACGATATATTTAAGTTTTATGTACCTCTGTAATCACCTTTATTTTTGCAATGGAAAACCAAGGAAGATGTATTATAAACTCGAACGCCGCTATATCATTATCGGGCACACATACGATGAACAACTTTGATTGCTTTAAAAAGTTAGCAAGTGTTTAGAATTCCCGGCGGCCGCTCCGTCAGACTGTGAAATCGTTTCCACCTTTGACGTTATTACGCAACAGGTGGAAGGCTTCCGGAGGGTCGTGGGCTGGAACGTGCCAGCCTAATTACCATCGAGCTGCCAACTCACTTTCTCCCTACACCATCTAATCGTCGCGACGGATTCGATTGTTGACGCAACGCATTTGTCTGGATCGCACAGTAAGGTTGTCAGTTGGGACGTCGGTGTGAGTGTAGACGTACGTACTACTCAAACACCCTAGTGACGTTGCGCGTTACACGTGCGCGCGTCTCTCTCGCTCTCGCTCTCGCTCTCTGTCATACTGTATATATTTCTTTGTACAAGCTCGAAGAAACCGAAAGAAAACAAATGTGCCGCAGGAGCGACAGCGCCCATCAATCTGCACGTGCTACTGTAGCACAGCGTATTCTTTCTGTGTTGATTAAACTCATCTAGCAACCCGAATAGAAGTGCGACCGTCCCGTAGCCACCGCGTTCGCCGCTCAGGGCAGACGCAATTACATCTTAGGAGCGGATATCTCACTAGGGATACAGAATCCTAAAAATCTGATGAGTAGGCGTATTTACCTTACTGGTTCTAGTACACATGATAAACGATACACGCTGTGTTCTAACGTTTAATGATTCGCATATAATTAACATGGATATGCGTCGAGAGCGCCGAGTTCGTTAGTTCTCGGTGGTGCGTGGAGGGAGAGGTGCGGAGGTAGCGCGGCTGGGTGGAAGAAGCTGACTCTGCAATAGCAAAAAAGCAGATTCAAGTCCTTTTCGTTACACAGTCAACAAATCCATGCTTTACATCCTCCTCTGTGAGGCGGTAAAAAGGATTATGCGAACACTTACTCTTTACGCCATTGGTCAGCGGAAAAGTACATTTCATGGTCTTTTCTAATTAAAGCCATTTAAAATGCGTAGGTCACGCTGAAAAACAAAATTGTCTTACCAACTCGCTTTCCGTCAGACCATGTCCTCAGAATGTTTCAGAATCTGCCCCTGTGCTCATTGACCTTTGACCTTACCATTTCTGGCAAT